CACGTGGCTGGTGCTCAGAATAACTACTGCTGGAGCCTGGAAAATAAGCAACGTGGAAGGAAAATGTTGTTTCCTGGCACACTGCAGTGTATGAGCATTACCAACACAGAGATGGTTTACGAAAACAACGCTGTGAGAAAGTCATTTGTTATGTTGCAGGGAGGATTGAAGATAAATGGCAAAAGCAAAGGCATCCTGAGCTAGCCATTAAGGCAGAGAAATTGCCTTTTGCATTTCCAGAGGAGCTTTCGTCATGCTACAGAACAGCAGTAAAACACAACGCCCATGTAGAAGGCAACAACACAAGGTGCAGAGAAGGGGGAAGACCAAGGACACCAAGGAAGCACCCACCCCACAAACTGACTGTAAAGGTTTTACCTGTAAGGTGTGCACTTTTACATAGAGCAGGTCACTCAGACCAGAAGGCTGGTGCTGTAGCCCTTTCTCCACCAGGACATCAGAAGAAAAGGTGCCTGTATGAAAGGTAAGAAGAAACCAAATGCCTTGGCTCTTGGGTCAGCACTTCCTGCTTTCAGATAGGTTTCCGTCTACCCGACCTCCTCACCTGATGCCATCTCAGCAGTACCTGTGGAGCCAGGCTGCCTTTTGCAATTACTCCTTGCTCTACTGCAGCAGACAGCCCCACTGACAGCTGCCACAGCCGACATATAAAAGGCCTCACATGCAAATTATTTCTCAAATCCATTGCAAGGTAGCCTCTGAGGCAGACTTGGAAAAAAAAAAAATCAGACGTATTCCATTTTCAAGGCGTATATTTAACTAATATGGTAAATCCTGATGATTGTTTAGAAGTAAGATATATGGACTCCAAACACAGTCTACAGAGGGAGAGCCTATGTTGGTATGCTGTGTTTATATAAACATACATATCGTGTGTATATTTCTAAATATAATTCTCAAGTTTCGCATTCTAACAAAAGCATCTTTAATGTTGGTACATAGGGTGAAGAGGCAGGGACAGAAGGAATAAACACTTCATATAATTGTCTGTAGCAGATAGTCTTGCACAGTCTGGGGCTCAAACCACCCAAACTGGTAGACGAACAGCAGCTGCAGTTCTCGGTGTTATTTTTAACACCATTCCCCCACTCAGGCTGCCTTGTCGCCTCTCTCCATCTCGGAGCACGCATTAAACCGCAGCCCGATAGCGTTATCGGCACCTTTGTCAACAAAATATACTTGTCTCCTCGGGATGGTGAAATGTGTGTCACAAATGAATGAGATTTCTGGAGTTCAGCAGCAATCTACGGGGAAGTGTTAATTAGAACAGACCGAGTCAGAAGGAAGCTCACCAGACGCAGACTAATTAGCACCGCCGAGCATAGCAGGGCAGCTCTGCGGAGGCAGCGCTCCATCACTGGCTTCTGAGAGGTTAGCACTCCTGCCTATTTCCGGGCTTCGGTCTCGAGATGACATGAAAACATATGTTATCAGACCAAGAGCCCCACGATCAACAGGAAGATCTGCTTTTTCTCCATCACTTGGTTACCCTCATCATCACATTCCTACCGCAGCATCCACAAAAGCACAGACCTTCAAGATTTCTCTGATGCGGGGGGCTGTGGGTCCCCAGGAAGGGAGGCATCCTGCTGAGCCTTGGCTGGACTCGCAGTCTGTAGCTGCCACCAGTTTCCCCGGGGAATTTAAGACCACTGGGCATCGATGCAGAATTCAAACAGACGGCTTCGGTGCGGAACAGAAAGGGTTTGTAAAAGTTTGGCGGAAATGTGGGAAAAGGACTTGAATGAACCATTCAGTATGTCAGCTTGCGAGCCTGCAGCTTAAATATTGCTGCCGAACCGACATTAGTCAAGTAAACAAATGCCTTCCAAGTGTTGCATCAGATGTTGTCCAGATGAATCCCCATTTTTCCCAGATGCAACCTAGCAGATGGACTGGTACACAAGCAATTCTGTAAGCAGACAGATAAGAGGCTGGAGATGCTGAAAACAATAGGATAAAACAAAGCAGTACAAAGCACAGCCAACGCTTGTTTCTCACATTCACGTACTCACTAATTTCCTAATTTTAGAAGAAAGAATTTCAGATTAAATACAAATTACAGATAATTCTAGTAAGCAATGGGTCAGCATCTATAGCTTCCATTCCTTCTGGCTTACTGTATTATTTTTAACTCTGATTATAAGCAGAGGAGCCCATGCCCACAAACATGTAAGATTTCGAGAAACCTATCTGCTAAATTCTGCCTTCGTACCATGGCTACCTCAAACACTGCATGGCCATCATCTGCAAGGCATTTCCCTCTGCCAGCAGCCCAAGCTCCATCTGAATTCAAGCACGTAATTCTTTTAACAAACGTAACGATGCCAGAACTCTTCGGTGTCTTGTTCTCTTACTTCTTCTGCTCAATAACCTACTTCATCCAAGGTTACAAATTTTCTTTTCCTATCCTGCCTAAATAAAGCCAGCGTGTATATTGAGCATAAGAAAATCAAAGCTGGATCCTAAATAAACAAAAATCAAAGCACAGGTCCAGCCAAAGCTAATGGGAGCTCTGGAAGCATAGCATGGGCTAAGGAAAAAAAAAATTAAGCATGCTTTTAGATACAAACATTTGAGCATTTTAACCACAAGCACCTCTTGGCACAAAATGAATTACAACGATCTGGTTTCTCAGCATTAATGCTGTGACCAGTCCCCGCTGGCCCACTCAACTTTCTAAAAGCATCTGCTCTCAAAACTGAACTGCTGGTATCAAAGGAGGTAGGATGAGAAAAGCAGAACAAATTAAGTGTTCTTGCCTGCATTCCTCAGCTTGGCTCTGCCAGGGAAAAAAGAGAAGGACAGGACTGTTAGGTTCAGCACTTCAGAAAACCATCCTTTCTGAACCAAGCACTTTAGCAACAGGAGTATGTACCACCTGCTGTCATGAGGAGAGACAAGACCTTACATTCTTATAGCTGAGGTCATCAGACTCGCATATGACTGGATCAAGGAGTTAATTGTAGAATCATTAATGTTTGAAAAGACCTCCGAGGTCACCTGGTGCAACCATTCCCCTACCACCAGTATCAACCACTAAACCTTGTCCCTAAAAGCGGGCCAAATGCTTTTAGTACTGCATTTAGATAGCACAATATACGATCGCAGCAGTTTACAAAGAATTTAAATACATGCACACCCTCTTCAAGCCCTGTTTTCTTCCCTTTTACAGCAGTCAAGAACTGGGAGTGATATAATCCACTCCCAGCAGCACCACGGTACCACCTGCTACAGAAAAGAGCTGATCAGCTATCCATTGTGTACCGAAGCAGATGGTGTGTAAATACACAAGAGCCTAACGATACCCAGCATTTCAGAGATCCCATTTCTTTCTCATAGCAGAGTTTAAATATTGCAAAACACAAGGACAGATTCTTTCCTCTTACACCGTAATAAGAACGAACTCCAATCAAGTCAACAAACATACAGAGGTGTCAAACAAGTATCAGAAGGCAATTGTCATTCTTAAAAGTCATACGTGTTACAGAAGACATCACGATTACTTACACAGGGTGTTTATACAGTAGAGGACATCATAACTGCATGAATTACATGACCTTGCATGATCTGTGCAAACAATTTTTTTTTTTTTTTTGCAATAGGCACACACTAAAAACAACCCTTCCTAAGCTCCCCACTCCTTTCACCCAGAGAAAAGCCGAGCAACAGAACTGCACTAGGCAAGCTTTGATTTATAATTGCTTAAACATTCTGGAAAGGAATTATATTATATAAACCAAAGCCATCATGCAATTTAACATGTTTCACAAAATTAACCAACTAAACACACACAGCATACCTCAGATCACTTCAAGCATTTACCTTGTAGGTTAACTGAAGCCTTGTGGACAGCAGTTTGAAAGCCATTAAAACACCTTTGCTTAGAGATAATTTTCTTATTACTATTATTTTTGCATTTACATGAACTAGGATAAGGTAGATTGCTCTCTCTTCTCATTGCTAGCTTTTTGCCATCCATCAGGGACAGGACAGAAATCTGGCTGGGTATGTTCACACATCCCACAACTTTTTTACCTTTGTCTACGTGATGTCAGCAACCAGTGGTAGGCTGGCATTGCAAAGGACCTGAGATACAGAGCAAAGCACAAAGGCTGTGGTCAAGCTAAGAACGAGCTAGGCCCTTAAAAAGCAAATCCCTTCTCTGAGACTATTCACCAGACTGCTGGCTATAAGAAAGAGAATTGTAAAATCTGGTTTTCTTTTCATTATTATGCAGTCTCTTACTTAATTTCCTTTCTCCAAGGAGAAATGGGTAAGGGAAACACTGTAACTTTTGTTTACAATTCATTCTAATTCTGACCTCAGAGGGGAGCACAAGCAAGATCTAGGCATGCAATCCATTTCTTTGTCTTGCCTGTGCTAACACAAAGACTCTCAAGTCTGGGTTGCAGGCATCATTGCAAGAGTCACACACAGAGACTTATTTGAATGAAGAGAAGAAAATTCAAGAGATTTGCTGCTTCCACCCCCACCCTCACAAATTCCTTTTTTTTTTTCTTTCCTCTAAAACAATAAATAATAATAAAAACCCTCTGCATCCTCAATTGCACAGTCAGAAAAGGAGACCCCAGACACAAATATATTTAGTACCTTACCAAAGGCTATATGTAGCCTAAGAAAATCTGAACATCAATTGCTAACACATCAGGGGGCAGTGAGTGAGACACTGGTATAGCTATTCCGAGGTGCCGAGGCATGTAATGATTTCCTCCTTTGGTTTTGGAAAGAGCAGGCAGGCTCCTGCATAAGCCTACCAGTTAGCTTTGTCAGAAAGCTGCACTAGGTCCACCTGACGATGCAAGATGCTTTAAACTCTCACAGCTGCACAAACTGATTATGAAATGCGACGATGAAATACGCTAATTATCAAACTCCTAGATCAGAATGGTGGCTTCATTATCCACTTTTACACAAGTGATCAGCAACAAATTGCTTAAACTGTCTTTGGAACTTACTGTATAACACAGCTGTTACGGTTCTCTGTAGCCACGAGGGTAATTGGGAGACCTTGTGTAGCGCACAGTTGCTGTAATTTGCTCCTCTCTTTATAGCCACTGGAAAGAAGAGCAGAAAGAAGGATCAGCTTTTCTTTATTGTTTCAGTCAGACAGAAAACTCCCCTCTGAATGTTCTTTTAGTTGTTTCTTTGTGGCATAGAAAATTATAAGGGCGTTAGTGCACCGTACCTGCTAACACAAGCCCATGCCTGCATACTGGAGAGCATGCGGCCTGCATGGTAAAACCATTCCTGACCCAAACACCTTTACAGTTCCTAGCCAGATGTAGTAAGGTAAAGGTAGCAAAGTACCAGTTCTGTTTCCCCTCGGCACGCTGGGCTGTGTACCACTCTGGAGCGCAGAAGGCACTGCAGGATGTGTGAAGCCTTCTTCAGCACAACCTCTGAGAAACGAGCAGGACAAGGCAGCTTCGTTCGCGGTGCTGCTCATGAACCACAGCCTGCGCATAAGAGACAATAATCCAGATCAGTTCACATGGCCAAAATGTGGAGATAAAATCACCAACTTACTAAGCTATTAGTTACTTATATTATGGAGGTACCCAAGGTCTCAAGCTCCAAATGCAGCACATTTCATGCAAGTCGTCTACAGGCCAATTGAAAAGTAGCCAGAGCTTCATACACAAAACCAGGATACCTTGCTTACCACTTGGAGACAGTCACTCGCTGCTACAGATTCTACCGTACAACCTTCTCTTTAAATGCAAAGCCCCCTGGTGCTAGCCGTAATGATTTGGATTAGCACTGTGATTCTCCTACTGCCAGGGAAATAAAAATCTCATAGTACCACTATCAGAGATTTCCGTGCAACTCAGTGAATAACAGTAAAAGCAGCTGCAAAATAGCAAGTGAACAAAGACTACAGAGATATAATGGTGACTCAACAGTCTTTCAATTCAGCTATTAAAGTGTCTGCAATTCCCTTTATGTTTCAGGTGAATCAAAAGTGATTGAGCAGAATTAATTTCTCCCTGGAGCATTAAAAAATGTTTCAGTCAGACTTGGCTGGGCTCTTTCAAATCTGAGTTTCTGAGTTCATCCCTGCTGTAACACCAATGAACTGAATGTCCAATGAACTCAATTTCAGCAGAGCTGAGTTTTGGAGGACGGAGTTAAAAGAATTATGTGAATTAACAGTGTGTATATTGAGATGATAGTTGAAAAATATAAACCTTCAGGAAATACCAGTACCGAACAGTAAATTCTCTTGGATTCTTACCATGCATCTGTGCAATGCCAAGCACATGAGGTACTCATTTGGGTTATGGAGCTCTGACTGACTGCATGAAAAAAAAATAAAATTCCATACTGAGACCACAGATATTCATGCATGCGAACGGGCACTTTATGGGTTTAGCACTAATTTAAACATCTATTTAGGAGCCCCATGTGAAGAACAGACTTCAAAGCTCTGGCGTGGAACGCCGAAGCCCTGCCTGATATGTGCATATCCATCAATTGTACTGTTTTATGATCTAAGTAGGGCAATTTTCCTCACCTTTTGACAAATACCGAAACTAAAAACAGCAAGGGTTTCATGAAGCTTTCACTGAGTGAAGGAAAAGGGAAAACAAAATGAGGAGTAAAATGATTAACATGGAAAAGTCAAACCTGTCAGGGAAAAAACAGAAGCCACATCACAGGGTTTTTAGAAGTTAACAAGAAAAATACGATCTGTACATTTTCCAAAAGTTTGGATAAGTTTCTCTTCTCCTTGTCACAATCATAGTTTCTCCTAAACATCTTTGTGTTTTGGATTCAGCCCAGGACTATAGAACCAGAACTGTCATATGAGACTTTCTCCAGGGGCCTGAAGTCTAGCTGTAAGTGAATTTTGGATGGCAGTTTATCTGACCCAAACCCTGGATACCCAATGCTTAGCACTGAAATGGGCAGGCACTAAAAAAGACAATAAAAGCATAACATTTCCCTTTTGGGAAACATTTAAAAACAAAACAAAAAAACAAACACAAAACACAAAGACACATACATTCTAGTATACAAGCGCAAACCTTAACATAACTAAGGATAACATCGGGACATGAAAGGTTTCTGTTTATATAGAGTGCTAGCTCTAAGGGCAAATTTATTAATGGAAGCTGATTAATAGATAGGCCTATTTGCAGAATAACAAGAAAACCAGTTGGTTCAGCTCCCTGAAAAACTATTTTGAGTTAAGATTTAATACATCTCTGCCAGCCCTCCTGTGTGGAACAGATTTGAAGAGAAAATTCAACTATTCCTCACCCACCACTCTCTAGCACATCCCAGCATCATTTACTGCAGCGAGACCAAAAAGGTAATACTTTAAAATACAGCCTCAGAGCTCTCAAAAACCAGGAGCAGCTCCTATCTCCACACAATCAGGATGATCAGCCTTACTATCTCCCTCTCGTTTGTTTAGCTCTGTTTTCTAAAGGTCTCATTTTCTTTTTGTTAGGGTTTTTTGGAATTTCTCCATATGTGTATCTGTGCCAGAAATCGAGTTTCTAGACATGCAATTACTCAAAATGACTTATAGCCTCCATGTGAAGAGCTGTAATATTAAGGGAATTAAATATCAAGGCTGCCTTGTGCAAATAAGAGTATGGACTGCTCAGACCTATACTTTATTGTTCTTATCTGCAATGGGCCTAAGCCGAATTCTGCATATGAAGTCTTCAAACTGTAATTGATCAAATCTATATGCAAATTCTGGCTTGCAGTAGGATACTCTATCAGACAAGAAGGAAAATCCCTCATTGATCTACCTACCAACTATCCAGGATCCAGGCGATGAGGAGAAAGCTTACAGATACGCAGGCCTTGGGGGATCTAGATGATTTAAGAATGGTGGCTGTAATAATAACAACTAGATTGTTTCTTTTTCAAGGGACACACATGCAATACTGATCTACAATAGCTCTTGCTTTCAGAAAGCGTTATTACAGAGAAGTGATTGGACTATCGGGAGAACTCTGAGTAGCTGGGAGTCTCTATTTGTCAACTGAGCTATAAAAAATGATAAAGCACTCTTTCAGTTTTTATGAAGCAACAGCATCCCTCAAGAATTTTATGTATGATACACCAGAAATCCTGTATTAAGTGTCTGAAGACATTTGGCTTTTTGCCCCTCATAACCACTAGAAATATGTGGCCATCTAAAGATAACCACATAACTTATCCTGCCTTATTACTCACATCATGGCTTATCACCCTGGATACTTAGTGGTGTTTATGAACATATTCAATGATACAAGCAATAGAAGACTCCGCATCTTTGACATCCAAATAAATGCTTTGCTGACTCCTGCTGTAATCCACTTTTTTTTTTATCTCAGGTTTGAGCAGAGCAGATCATTGAACGTGGGCGTTTGATTGCCTTTAGATGTCTGCCATCGCAGTGATCAAAGTTGCCAGGTGGACACTGAGGACCTGCAGGAAGCAGTGGCTGCTGCTTGTATCACTGAAGTGTTAGCTGAAATCAAAGTGGAGAACTCTGTTCCTCCTAACAGACCAGCTGCCATGCTCTATCTAATTTCTGCAGAATGCATATCCTTGCCTCTCAATAATTTTATTTTATTTTTTTATTATTTTTTATTATTTTATATTTTTATTTATATTTATTTTTCTATATTTATATTTATTTATATATTATTTATATTTATATTATTTTGTTTATTATTTTATTATTTTTTTTAATGAAGTCTACACTGTTCCCTTCAAAGGACAGCTGGGATGCAGACAAAGCACACCTGAAACTGATAACTGATCTTCTGCTATACTCCTGGACATAGCCTCTAAGCAGAGTGCATACCAGACTGTGTCTTGAAGGAGTCTGTTTCACCCTGAAACTCGTTTTCCCCTTTCCTTGAGTGAATCCTGATTATCCTCTAGAAACACAGCCTACATGGCTCATGGGATACAGCGCGGATTTGCTACCAGACCTAGAGGAACACCAACACGTGTTATCTGGACAGAACCTGTAAAAATTTTAAACTCTATTTTACTTCTGATTCTCTGTTCCTTGTCAAACACCACCACAAATGGAGTTGGATGATCACTGTATCAGTGAAGAAGAGATTCCAGAAAACAAAATCCTCTCTAGGAATTAATGTACTACTTGATAGTGGAGGTGGGATAAGCTAAACCTACCCAGGCTTAACAAAAGTGACGAGTTCAATTACCAGGTAGCGTCCACTTCCAAATTTACCTCAATTGCAAACAATGAGGCTAAAAGCAGTAAAAATAAATTTCATTCATGTAATTTGATTTTAACCAGGAAGGTTTCAAACAGTAATATAAAAGTTAGATTCTTAGTAAAAAGAAGTTACGAGCAGCTACAGTAGCTGTACTTTCCCAAAACTGTATCCTTCTTTCATGGGTTCAAGGCTTCCTACCTTGCCTACGAAAAAATTATTTGGTGAAAAATCCACTTTATTCATCTTGTCCTAGAAGAAATCATGCAAGCAAGCAGAGGCAGGTTGTGCATCCTAACCAGCAAACCCCAGCAAAGTTCCTATGGTCTGTAGGCACGAGATGCTCACCAGCACGAGGTTTGTGGTCAGAGCATCTCAGACTAGCCAAGCAGTAGAGCTGGGAGATGCAGAGGCTCTCAGGCACACAAACCCAAATCAGGCAATGTTTATGTGTTTGAAAGCATCTCTAATTGTTCCAGCTCTATTTACTCAAAGGACATCTCTTCTGCCCTGGACTGACAGAGGGAAGTGGCCCTGGCAGTCACCCACGAGGCCTACAGCGGCCCGTCCATCTTGTCGGCCCCAGGCTGCCCATATAGGCCGCAGCAGGTAATAACGGGTTCACGTCAATAAACCAACGCTTCTTAAGAAGCAAGTGGAGATGGAGGAACGAGCCTCAGCACCAGGAACAACACAACACGTTCATTACGCTGACAGCCCACTTCAACACCTCATACAGAAGGATCTGCTAATCCTGATGAATATTCACTTTCTGAGCAGGAGCCTGAAATGCAGTGCATAAATTCACACCTCCCAAATAGGACATCTCTCAGGATCCATCAAAATACAACAGTCTCTAACTGCTTTTCCACTTCGGCACGTCCTTTGTGTTCCAATTAATTAAAAGTTACCTGTATGTAATGATAGGTACATAGCAAAGAAATCCGCACTGTTCTCAATTTGAGGTCTCAGTACTACGGCCATATACATATCACTGGCACATCAATAAAAGGTATTTTGTATTCTCACCTTAACATACATTATTTATGCAACTAAACACTTCCTTGAGATAACAGAACTAACAGCACTGGATAGCAAAACACATGTTCAAGGGGAGATAAAAACAAATAACTAGCAGTTGGTAATGGGCAGCCAGAACCAGCCCCTAAAGGTCAGTGGCAACTGAGGCCCCAGCCTGAGCCCCAGAAATAGAGAAATCCTGTGGGCCTTCACTGTTACCACCTGGGCCAAGGGAAGTCAGA